ATTGTGGAAAAAGCATTTTCTGTGATTGACCAGATTTTAGCAATAACAAAGATAACTGATGGATCCTTTATGATAATAGTACATATGTTATGGTACAACTATAGAGCAATGCAAATAAATATAACAAAGTGAGAAGTAATAGTAAATAGTTTAGTCAATAAAATAAACAAATAGTATACAGCAAATAAAATAGTAATGAATAGTATAATTATATAATATCATAAGTACAATAATACAATCATAAAAATATTGATAATAGCATATAGTTTATTAATAATACTATAATAATAGCAATAGAATAAGAAATATAAATTACAGAATATAGCCTACACAATAAAAAATAAGTTAAATAGTGACTTTAATATTTAACTCTTTTTGTTAAATTTCAGTTGTATTGATCAGTAATAGCCATTATAACAGAAGTAGCTTCAGTCAAACATACAGCAGGATACAACGTTAAAATAGCCTAAAAATAAAGTTCATGAAACTTCACTTTGCCCTCAGCCAAAACGATTTACCAGGGAACCATTTATAGATTAATGAGACCAAAGATCGCCCGTTAGATATACACAAGACGAATTATATCTCATGCTTAACCACTAGACTAGAGACATCCGAGCCAGCGGCAAACGTCAGAAGCACTGGCCGAGGTACGGCTGTTCCTTTCGGAGTAGACGAACGCTGAGCCCCCGGTGATAGCATCTTACAACTCCGAAAACGTCAGATAACATTTTTAAATAGGCGCTATCTTTATAAACAAACCACATATTTGAGCTTTAAACAACTACATTGTCGACTGAAAAACTATTAAAACTACATTTCGTGACACAATAACAGTAGTATTTTTAAATTTAACCTCTGAACGTTACTATTACTAATTAAATCATGACCAAATACAACCAAAAACAAACGTTCAGTCTTGCTTGTGAAAGGTAATTCCTCGAAAGCGGTTTTCAATTGTGTGGCAATTTGTACAGCCCCAAGCAGCGCACAAAACAGGCATTTTTCTCAATTCCCAGTATGAGAGGTATGGGAAAGTTGCCATCCCCAACATGGCGGCGCCGTTGACGTACGCTCCAGCGGCCAATAGGGCGTCTATGTATTTATTATGTCTATGTCCGTCGCAACTATTTTATATGTTCACGGAACACCATATTTGGGAATTAACCCTATAATGGCTGATTACATCACCACATAAATAAGAGTTTTATTTTATTATTATTTTATTAATTAAGTTTTATTAATTGTTTTTCAGACCTGCCACAGCATACAGTAATCCTGGACGTCAGAACTCAGTGGAATTCACTCTATCTAATGATAGACAGATTTCTTGAGCAATATCCTGCCATCCAAGCAGCTTCCATGGACCCAAGGCTGAGAGGCTCAATGGAGAGGGACAGGTAGAAGGAATGAATGTGATACAGGATAACTGCTAATGATGAATCTGATTAATTCTATAATGGACAATTTATTAGATGCAAGATTTAATGTTTGCAAATTTCAGATTGGAACGCATCACTGACGAAGACCTCAAAAAGGCAGAGGAGTTTACAAAGTTCATGAGTTTAATGTACACTTCCACTATGTGTATCGAGTGACAGTACTCCAACCTGTGGCCAAGTCCTTCCTGTCCTCCTGACTGTGCGTTCATACCAGACGCGAATAGCGAGTCAAATTCGCGCCTACCGCGTCTAGTTATACGCTTGAACACTTTGAATCCATTCGCTCGTCAAGAGCGAAATTGACGCGCGTAAATTTCGCTTCAAACTTTTGTTTTTTACGCGCGTCAATTTCGCTCTTGACGCGCGAATGGATTCAAAGTGTTCAAGCGTATAACCAGACGCGGTAGGCGCGAATTTGACGTCTCGCGCGTCGGAATCGAAACCCGTTGGCGGCCATATTTTTTATGTTGATCGAGCATTCATCGAGAGAGTCACCGCTCTGTATTTGCTCTGGAGAGCAGAACGGCGGCGTAGGGGTCATCGTCGCCGTATTTGTGTCCACCAGACCCTTCGGGGGCGAACCCAGTTTGGCGAGTTTCACCTATGGTTTCACCATTTGCTCGCTCCTGGAGCTGCGCCTGGATGATGGCCGCTTTCAGCGGTACTTCCGCCTGTCCCGCGCCCAGTTTGATGACCTGTTGTCCCGCATCGGAGCGAGGATCACCCTCGCCCTCATCCACCTAATCTGTCATTTATTTTTGTTTTGATGATAAATGGAGCCAGCCTCCAGAAGTGATTAACCTGTCCTGTGATTTTTTCTCTCTCACACAACACTGTCCAGACACGAACTTATGAACTATAGTATGTTGGTTGTCTTTACATTATAATAATATTTCATATAATCTAGATATGGAATAAATAACATTCAATACAAAATGAATATGTCTCATATATTGAAATCAAGTTTTATGTGAAAAAATATTTGCTTTGTTGTGCATTAGAACCACACCAGGCATTTAGTCATATTACAAAATAATTTATTGAAGCATCCAGATACTTCACCACGTGACAGCAGCAAGCAGCTATAGGCTCCCGAATGGTTAACGCGTTAATTATGCGTTAACCGAATGGTTAATTGACGGCAAAGTTCAGATTTTTCAACTCGGGCGGCAGCAAACGCGTGAATGCACAAAAAGCACTTAATAAAATAATTTGCGCGTAACGCGCCAGACGCTCAATTCGCGCGAATGAGGCGTATTCACGTCTACCGCGCCGTGCTCTACGCCTCATTCGCGCCGCAGGAATTGTTTTACGCACGTAACGCGTCTTTGCATTGACTGACGGTAGAGATCCACTTTTGCGACACGACGCGTGTTGTCGCGACGCCTCCCCACATTTGTACTTTGATGGGCGTTCCTCATGTTTACCGCTATGGGCGTGGTTTTGAGCCAGCGGCCAGTCTAAAACAGAGGACCTGCGAGAGACTTCCCCCCGTCTCCATATGCTCTACTTCTATTGGATAGACGCGCCGCGTTCAACGGAATTCATTTGCATAAAGATGGGCATCGGCCAGCTTTTGACGCGCATCATTTTTCCAAATGAAGCGCCGCCTTCCCGGGATGCTTTGCGGGCGCGTTAAAGTCGCGTGACGTCACCCATAGGAATAAAGCGGAGCGCGGCGCGACAGAAGTATCGCACGGACAAGTGGATCCGCACCCTTACGGTAGAGATCCACTTTTGCGACACGACAGTCGCGTGGTGTCGCGACGCCTCCCCACATTTGTACTTTGATGGGCTTTCCTCAAGTTTACCGCGATGGGCGTGGTTTTGAGCCAGCGGCCAGTCTAGAACAGAGGACCTGCGAGAGACTTCCCTCCATCTCCATGTCCTCTATTTCTATTGAATAGTCGCATCGCGTTCAACGGAATTCATTTGCATAAAGATGGGCATCGGCCAGCTTTTTGACGCGCAGCATTTTTCCAAATGAAGCGCCGCCTTCCCGGGATGGTTTGCGGGCTCGTTAAAGTCGCATGACGTCACCCATAGGAATAAAGCGGAGCGCGGCGCGACAGAAGTGTCGCACGGACAAGTGGATCCGCACCCTTAATTAAAGGAGCACTTCACCCATTTCCACATTAATCTTTATTGAAAGTGGGTCATATATGTAGTCGAAATGTAAAATAATTTTTGAATTTGGTGCCCTCTTGACTGAGAAAAGACCACCACATTGCACCACATTGCACAATGCACCACATTGCACTCCCACTAATCCAGAACAGCGCAAACATCAGAGAAATCACTCTTTCGTCTACAATGCTAACGTTAGCTGCCACCAGAGTTAGAAATTCATTTCACACAAAATTTCTAGTTAGTTGGCTGTGGCTGGCAGGACGAGGGCGAGGGACGTGAGAGGACGGCACGAGGCCGGTGGCGTGAGTGATAATGAACGACACCTGTGAGACGCGCCGGTCTCGCATCTCTCACGGAGGAGCGGAAGCATAAAAGGAGGAGCGACGACAGGGCAGATCGAGAGAGGAACAGGCTGATTTTCTGTTGTGTTTTGTTTCTGTTGTGTGTGGCCAGCAGTCGTCCGCGAGGGGCTGCTGGCTTATACTTTTGTTTTGTATTTGTTTATTTTACTATTAAAATGTTTAAATGTTCGCCGGTTCCCGCCTCCTTCTTCCCACAACAACGAACCCCGTTACATTGGCAAACTCATTAGTGAATTACTCCTCGTTTGTATTTCTTTCTATATGGTGAATTATTGCATGATACCTGGATGTTCAGTCAGAACATATGCGGTGCGACACTAGGATGGTTCACATCACAACACAAATGTCCGTGTGCTCGTCTGATTCAGAGATTTCGTCCAGGAAATTGCCATCGTTGAAATTCTCTGCAGCAGACGGACTCTATCTGTGTCCGTAGCGCACAGCGAGAGCACAGGCACCAGCAGTCCGCCCAGCTCGAGCCAGTCCGGGCTCCTCGTCGGCGACAGGCAGCCGCCTCCTGTTCCTCCATCAGCCTCAGCTGCTCTTCACTATATTGCGGCTCGCAAAGATAGCCACGAACAGCAGAATTTCAAAATCCTCTTCTTCCATATCATGTTTAGTTTCTTCCGTCATTGTCGTAACTTCCTATCTCCACGGCGCTTGTTAGCTTAGCTTCCAAACAAGATGGCTGATATTGATTTCAGTATCTGCAAGTGAAGTCCCACCCACTGATCTGTAATAGGTCTGTAGCGTGAGTGGGTCCCACACCCTGAATAAATGATGAGCTAGTGTTTGTAGTCTCTACACTTTTCAATGAAATGTGACTTCCTGCTTATTATGACGCAAAAGGACGATTTTTACGTCATAATAAGCAGGAAGTAAAACACTTAAATCCTTATTTCTCCCATCTCAGGGAAAAATAAAGGAAAAATCCACGATCATTATAATATATGACTGGGTTTCTAACAATACAAAGCTTAATGCAAATGGGTGAAGTGTCCCTTTAACATTGAAATCACTCGCGCCAGACGCTCTATTCGCGTCTGGTGTGAACGCACCATGAAACTTGAAGAACACTTTCAAGTTCAAGAAAATGACACACTCTTTGTGGCTGGAATCAAGAAAAGGGTTTGGGAAGATCTGTCTAAGCGGTACCAGGTACAACAGACAGTAAAATACACTACCCAGCTACCACTTGTTATTTCATGATGATAATGCTATACAGATTGCTGCTCAGTGCTTCAGTACCTTTTACAGATTACTTGTTTTGAATTTATTATCTTAAAGAATGAGGACATCAGGCACTTCCTTGAAGAGGCTACAGTGATGGATCCACGCTTCAAAAATAAGCTCCATCCAGATAACATTTGGGAGAGGGTGAAACTGGCTGCAGTAATGGCACAAAACAAGGTATTGTTGTTTTCTTTCACACAAACACACATACACACAGGGAACAATGTATACTGTGAATATCCGCTTCTAATGTGAAGCTCTCTCTAAAGATGTCAGAAGAGCAGGAAAGGGAAAAAGGCCATGAGCAAGAACAGGACACTTCAACGGTGAATGCAAGCTCACTATGATAAAGATACATTATCTGGTGTTGTTGACAAGGATATATATTGTTCATATTACTAACTAACACAAATTTTCTTGCTTTTAAGGAAGTGCCTTGCAAGAAAGTTAAAAAGTGTCCATTAGCAGTTCTGTTTGAAAAGGAGGATAAAGCTCTGCAGGGGATTGTGCTACCAAATGCTACTGGCTTGTCAGTTGATGAGAGAGTTGACAGAGAACTTCTTTTCTACAAAGAACGGTCCTCAATCCCCACCTATGAAGACCCTGCTGTTTGGTGGTGGGAGAACAGAGAGGCATTGCCTATTCTGTTTCACCTGTCTGAATCGTACATGTGTGTCCAAGCATCTTCTACTCCTTCAGAGAGGGTATTCTTCACTGCTGGAGACACAATAAGCCAGGAGAGGTCCCGAATTCTCCCAGAGAAAGCAGACATGTTGATTTTCCTTCAGAAAAATTGTTAATTTTTTTGTTGCAAAAATGGCTAAATACAGTATATGTTGATTTTTTTTTTTACATTGCCAACCTGCAAATTCATTTGAGAGTAAGTAATAAACACAAAAAGGATTGTTTGAGTTGAGTAGTGTGCATTTTTCCTTACCACTATTTATTTATTAGTTGTTAAACAATTTTAATGAAACCGAAATCGGAACCGGAATCGTTAGGCGGAACGGGAACTGGAAAATTTCTTACAATTCCCAACCCTAGTTATCGCGCATATTTCACACGTGTGAGCAGTCAAGTCGCAGCTCGATGATCAGACCATACAGTGTAAGAACATAAATCGTGAGCTTTGGCTTTACTTCACATGCGATTTACTCGTACAGTGAGAGTTGGTATTTAACAAAAACATTGCTGAAATTGCACAGTGTATGCCCTGGTTTAATGAACTACGGTACAGTTACCTGGCGACCTCCAATGATGCAATTGCTGTGTGAATGATCATTGTATAGTCATATTTTTATATGACACTAATCTATGGCCGATCTTCTCTTTTTGTCTATCTAGGGAGTCTTGCACTCAGGGATCCATCCCAGGACTTATAGAGGTTTTTAAAAAACGAGGGTTCCGCTGGGCCTGCACAGACAATGACTTGTATGTTTGATTTATTCTTTTTTCAAAATATTTAATATAATTGTTAATAATTGTTGAGCCCAATAGCGGCTCCTGACCATACATTGAGGTGGGGTACATTCTGGGTCTCAGCATTCTGGGTCTCAGCGATAACTAATGAATAACAACCTGTAAGTTTTACATTCTAATTGCTGAACACATACAGATGCACTTTTGGCAGAGGTTTAGGGCTACGTTCAAACTGTCAGTTCAAATCCGTTTATTTGTGTTTCCGATTGGAATCTGATCTAAGATTATTGACTGACCACATTGTGTATCACAACTGTTCAGATCTGATTTGTGTGTCCCATGCTGCCTTTTAATTTTTCGGAATATCTGTATTGGTTTCTATGGCAATGGCGTCACGTTGGTAGGTATACACCAAAAACAACAACAACAACCACAACATGGAGGGGTTTGCAATACAATTGTTGTCTTATTTTTAACATGACAATGTGTAGCTGCATCTTATGAGGCAGCAGCAGAAACGTAGGAGGCTGGTATGTGTGGCTTTATTCCATTCTGTCTTCTCCGCAAGTATCAAAACATGTCTCTGTTTATTGTCATTTTCTGCTCAACACCTGCACTTTGCAATAGCACCATTGTTTCTTAAGCGACTTTCAGCATGTTTCTAGGTCTGGGATGTTCAGCCTGAATGTGGCACATCAATGTTGATTGACAGGCTCAAGTACACACGGATATAATGCAATCTTTGAATGCGTACCTTAATGTGGTATTTATTGTGTTCGAATGTTGATTGAGAATGTTGAGGGGAATTGAAAGACCTGGTCAGGCTGGCACACCATGGAGGTGTTACAGGCCTACCAGGCTGATCTGCTCAGAGAAATAGACACAGACAAGGGCCTTAGCCAAAGTCAAAGAGCTCCGCACAGCCAAAGACCTGTCTCTCTGTGCCACAAAGCAGATGGCCCATGCAATCGGCCATTCTATGGCTGTTTTGGTGGCTACGGAGAGGCATCTGTGGATCAACCTTTTGGGGATAAGGGATAAAGAAAGAGCCTTTCTGCTGGACACCCTGGTCTCACCGTCTGGCATGTTTGGTGACGCTGTCAGTACAGTTGTCAACAGGTTTCAGGCTGCAAAGAAGCAATCTGAGGCGTTCCAGCAGTTTATCCCTCACTGGGTCCAGCAGGCTGGTCCTTCTACCTCCCATCCTGCACCCAGCTCCAGGAGGGAGGAGCAGTGTAACAAAATTAGCTCAAAGGGGAAATATTACTAATAAATCATAATTTGTTACGATTAATTATGAATATTTGGATCAGTTAATCGGATTAACTTGATGTAGCTAAATTAATATTACAAACAATGATTATTTATTAATTCTAAGAAAGGGTATTTTTCTTGGCCACAGAAAAATAATTATTTCTTAACATGTACAGTGCTTAGTGCGTGTAGCAAGATCAGGAATTGTTTAAGTGCCATTAATCTGCAGGCAGAATCAGAATCAGCAAACTCATATGTATTGTGCACAAAGTTTTATTAACTAAATCATGAACACATAACTAATCTACAAAAACACATACATACAAAGCATGCATACATGGGAAATGGAAAAGTGAAAGTGGATTAAACCGGAAAGAGAAGCAGGAAATTAAGCTATGGTAAAGAGGCATTTAACCATTTGAAAGAACCAAGAGTTTCTGATTTCAAAACACCTCGTTAAATGTACGATACTTGCATTTGCCTTTGCAGTTGCAGCAGTCTGTGAAATCTCTGAAGAAGGTTTCGGTGGTTCCATGAGTTGATGGTGTTGAAGTTGCAATCAATTTCTTCTGCGTGGAATGAAGAACTGGTGATGAATTTGCGTGGTTAGTTTGATTATGTTATGGTCAGGGAGAAGAAGGAAGAGGAAGGGAGGGAACGTTGTGTTGGCTTTTAAGTTCCACCGAAGTCACACCTCTTGAGTTTTGGCTTGACCAATGGGAAAGGTGCAATTTCCAAGCGGAAAATTCCTCTGTTGAGAGGTTTTATGGCCTTTTGTCTGGAGCATGGTTAGAATGGGTCTGGCAGTTTGTGTCCATTTATACTATGATTAATATAACAAACACACACTGCATTCTTTGAGGAGGTGCACTAAAGTGTGAGTCGTTAAATGAGCATTAATTTGATAGGAGACACGATATAGATGAGGTCACATTAACTAGCATTTCAGACAAGAAAGTCTGTCATACGGGTCATGTGTCTTTCCTATGGCCTTTGCTTTTGCATTTTTTCAAGCAATAAACAGAGTCTTATCTGATGGTTGTTACATGTGTGTCCTGAGTTTCCCCCCGTTCATTGTGTATTTGGTTTAGTCCTGTGTTCCAGTTTTCCCGCTCCTCGTTTCTGTTCAGTTCCTTCACCTGTGTCTAGTTAATTTGCCCCAGCTGTGCCTTGTTTCCCCAATCTGTTCTCTGTGTATGTAAACCCAGTGTTCTCCCTCACTCCTTGTCGGTTATTGTCTATGTTACCAGTGTGTATACTTTGCCCTTCTGCCTGCCAGTATCTGTTTGTTGTTTTGATTTATTAGTAAAAGTGTCTGTCTTTGGAAATCCTAGTGATGGGCAGATCGAGGCTTCGTGAAGCAATGAAACAGTTGAATCAAATGGTTCATATTGTTTCGAAGCTTCGAATCAATCCGACACCCGTCTCCACGGTGACACCTAGTGGTCACTTGCAGGTGTTGATCTGAAACAACCTTGACAAGCCATGAATTTTTTTATTTTTTTTTTACTTTTCTAATATGTGAATCTTGTAACCTATAGACTCCTCATTGTGCATAATGTTATTTTGGTCCTGCGAAATGAATATTAATAAAATAAATCAAGCCACAATGTCTCACTTTTTTACATATTTTTATTTACTTAGCCTACTTCTTTTTTTACAGATAATTTCTCCAGCCTTTGAAAAAATCCTCTCACAAGGGACACTTGTTGCTGGCATGCAAAGATATTTTTTAGCTAATACATACAAATGAGGAAAGATTATTGCTCTCTCTTTCCAGTAAGTTAGTGGATCATGAGTTGTGGGCAAATACGCATCGTTGATGTATTTTTTCACTTCCACTGTGGCATCAGCTGTAGCATTGTGTGTCATCTGGGTTTGATGATACGAGTATCAAAAAGTTCCCATAAACTGTCCTGTGTTTCTACTGGATGATGTATTGTTGCAGGCGAGCTGCCGATCACAATACACACATCTCACTTTATTTGGGGTTTCTAAATGGAAATGCTCCCACACCACAGATGTACGGCATCTCTTCTGGGGAGCCTCCATTTTATCTATCTATCCAAATCTATCTAGATATGTATCTCTAATCTATCTATGTAATTAGATATGTATAATATGTATCTATAATCTATCTATGTATTTATATTATGTAGCCTATCTTTAATCTATCTGTATCTATCTATCTATTAATCTAGCTGTCTATATATATTTATATCTATGTATCTATTAATGTGTCACTATACTCTGTGTCTCTAGCCTATCAGTCAATGTGTTGTGTACATTTAAGCCTAAATATAACTAAACAAATCGCACTATAAATGTCACTATATCACCAAAAATCCGCTATCTCAAAATCAAACTCCTCTCACAAAAACCCACGAGGTCAATATGCGTTGATTTCACTTTAATACAGATGTGCGATTGTGTGGTCTGTTGTTCCCGACCGTGTCAATCAAACGCTGATTCGGTGGATCACACCTGATGAAACACTTAGTGAAACACTTCGAGGCTTCGTTTGGCCATAGTCACGTGACATGGGTGTTTTGAATCACGCTTCGAATCAGTGTTTCGAAACATCTGCGCTTCGGGATCTCGCAAAGCTCCGGAACGACTGTTTCGTGGCAGCCATCCCTATTTGTGTTACC